ATTGAAGTCCAGTTCCCCTCCTGCGGGTGTTGAGCCTCCTCCTAGATCTCACGGGTGAGGCCGCTGGCTGCCGGGATCAAGGCCGTTTCCTGGTGCAGGAGCTGGGAGTGGTGTAGCCAGGTCTGGATGCCATCAGCAGGGCGACAGTGTATAGTCCCTTCCAAGTTGGGGTGAGTCCTTGGGTAGTGAACTTCTTTACACCGAGTCCCCAAGCTGGAAAGGGATGTACAGGGTCTGAGGTGGCATTGGAAGGGCGTCTCAAACAAGCTTATGGGTGGCTCTCTGGGTATACTGCAGAGCCTGCAAGGACTTGAGCAAGGAATGGTTATGACTTTTAGCTTTTAATTCCTCCTCTAACTTTGGGTAGGATAGGGGGAGGTTTACCAAACATGATTTCAAGAGGAGAGAACCCCTCCCGGTTGGGGGTACACCTGGCCTGTAAGTAGGCAAAGGGCAGGAGGTTGGTCCAGTTTTCACCGGTTTCTGGGATAAATTTAGTTAAAGTCCTTTTAGAGTCCTGTTCATACCTGCCCTGAATCTGTGGCCGGTATGAACAATGGAGTTTCCAATTTATGACTTTGAGATACCTTGGCTACAAAGTCGGGGCTGTTATCTGGTCCTATGACTGCTGATAGCCCCAATCTAGGTATAATCTCCTGGAGTAATTTCTTGACCATTATAGAGGCAGTTTCTGTCCTGGCGGGCTAGACTTCAACCCATCCCGAGAAGGAGTCTATACTTATACCCTGATGCCGGTGGCTTAATCTCTGTGAAATCCACCTCTCAATGCTCTCCTGGGGAGTTGCCCTGGGCCCGAATTCCCAGGGGGACCCCCCTTACCTTGCATTTACCTGTGACCTGCCTCACAAAAGTTCAGAAGTCTTGGTGATGCCTAAGTGGGTAGCCTGGTGTAACTGGGCAACTAAAGTCTGACCTAGAGCCTCTGGGACCAACAGTCTGCCATCTGGTAGAGTCCACCAACCATTTGGTCCTCTGGTAGCTTGCTTCTGTTCGGTTAATTCCTCCTCTTGTAAAGGCCCCACTGGTTTTTGGGCAGCTTCCTTGGCAGCTTGGTCTGCAGCTCTGTTTCCTTGGGCAGTCTAGGGTGACTACCACCTCCCACTGTCCCATCTTGTACTGACCTGCCTCACAAAACTCTTGTGACCTGCCTCACAAAAGTTCAGAAGTCTTGGTGACACCTATATGGGTAGCCTGGTGTAACTGGACAACTAAAGTCTGACCTAGAGCCTCTGGGACCAACAGTCTGCCATCTGGTAGAGTCCACCAACCATTTGGTCCTCTGGTAGCTTGCTTCTGTTCTGCCAATACCTTCTCTTGTAAAGGCCCCACTGGTTTTTGGGCGGCTTCCTTGGCAGCTTGATCTGCAACTCAGTTTCCTTGGGCAGTCTAGGGTGACTACCACCTCCTACTGCATACCAGATTTTATCCTGAACATAACTGCTTCCATTTTGTACATAACAGTACCTTGTCTGGTGATGATAGCAGGACATCTGTCAAGTCTGGGCGAGCTGCATCTGTTACCTCTATGCAGTCGTGGATGGCTCCTCTGGATCATCATCTGGGAGCAGGCTGGCAGGGTTGATGGCCAGTGCAGGGCTGGTCCAGGAGAAGAACTTGGCACTGGGTCACCCTGGTGTTTGACATCCATCTCTTCAGAGCATCTCAAAGGAGGGCTTCCACAGCATGGGGTGTTGTCAGGGCTAGTTCCTGGCCCAAAGTCAGCTTATCTGCCTCCTTTACCAGCAATGCTGTGGTGGCCACTGCCCGGAGGCATGCTGGCCACCCTGCAGCCATGGGGTCTAGTCTCTTAGACAGATAGGCCACAGGTCTCTTCCAGGGACCTAGAGTCTGGGTGAGAACCCCTTTGGCAATGCCCCTTACCTCACTCACGTAGAAGTCTGGCAAGGCTAGGGCAGGTGCTGAGACAAGAGCCTTCTTTAGCTCCTCAAAAGTCCATTGTTCCACTTCAGTCCAGTTTAACGGCTGCGCCTCCCCAGCACTTGAGCACAGAGGTTCAGCAATCTCCGCGAACCCCAGTATCCACAGGCGGCAGTATCCAACTGCCCCTAAGAATTCCTGAACCCGAGCTGGAGTGGCGGTG